ATTTCCCTAATGTAAGTAATGTTGAACATTTTTTCATATACTTTTTTCATATACTTGAGTGTTTGTATGTCTTCTTTTGAGAAATAGGTATTCAGATCTTCGGCCCATTTTAAAATCAGATTCTTTATTTTTCCCAGCAATACAATTATGTACATATTGTTTTATGCCATTACTTTTAAGACCAGTTAAGAGAAGAAAGGATAAGAAATAAGCAATTATGCTGTTTTTATAAGGAGTTACAAATTATATAATTGCTTATATAATCACATAATTCTGGTTTATTAGTGCTCTCCAGAGGTTGCAGCCTTGGGCATGAGTGCTGGATCGCTAACTACTCCAGATAATTACGGTTTTAGCTGGGTTCTTTTTTTTGGGGTAGCTCTTGCCTTTTTATTACAAATTTTATATATATATGTGTGTGTGTGTGTGTGTATATATATATATTTTTTTACTTTAAGTTCTGGGATACATGTGCTGAACGTGCAGGTTTGTTACATGTGCCACGGTGGTTTGCTGCACCTATCAACCCGTCATCTAGGTTTTAAGCCCTGTTGCATTAGGTATTTGTCCTACTGTGCTCCCTCCCCTTTCCCCCTAGCCCCTGACAGGCCCCGGGGTGTGATGTTCCCCTCCCTGTGTCCATATGTTCTCACTGTTCAACTCCCACTTATGAATAAGAACATGTGGTTTGGTTTTCTGTTCCTGTGTTAGTTTGCTGAGGATGATGGTTTCAAGCTTCATCCATGTTCCTGCAAAGGACACGAACTCATTCTTTCTGACTATTCTTTCCCTGATGTTTCTGTGAAGCTTCTGGCTCATCTGCCTTTGTTGGTATCACTTGCATCTGTGAGACCCTCTAATTGTTCATTGATCGCTCTATTCTTTTTAATAGGCCTACAGCACAATGCATAAATCGTTCTGTAGGCTGCTTAATGTCTAGCCCTTTTGCCAAGAGAGAGTGTTGCCAGGGTTTGAGGCTGTCTCTGACCCCAGGAGGGCCCTTCTTAGTTATCTCTTTTTCTGATTGTATCTGTTAAGCTTCTGCCTGGTGTTTTTGTTTCTTGTTACTACCGTCATGGAATTACCACCCTCTTCTTGTTTTTTTAGCACCAACATTTCCAATGTTTTTGTACAGTGCCCTTAGGCATGTACTTCTCCACCCTCTATTTCAAGAAAAGCCAGTTTTAGGGAGACTTGTGGAGCTCCCTGTTCTGATGGCCTCCCTGTGCCCCCGGCAGAACCGCTGAGCCGCTGGACTGGAGCTGGTGTCAGGGACAGCAGCCAGCTTCTCCTGCCGCGATGTCTTTGCTCTAACAGCTGGAACACTGGGAGGGGGTGGTAGCTGCCAGTCTTCTCGGTTTGCTCTTTCCTGCGTGGAACCTCTACCCCATGAGTGAAGTCAGGCAGGATCAATGAAGCCCAGTGTGCTTCACCGGCTAAACTTGGCGTGGAACTTCCATGCGAGGAGAAGGAGCTGGATGGGAGAAGGAGCTCCGGTCCTGTAAGCCACAATTTCTAACTAATGTAGAACATCTGCAACATGGAGGCAGCAGGATAAAAGATGCTGGTGCCGCCGGCGCGGTGGCTCATGCCTGTAATCCCAGCACTTTGGGAGGTGGAGGCGGGCAGATCACGAGGTCAGGAGATCGAGACCATCCTGGCTAACACGGTGAAACCCCGTCTCTACAAAACAATACAAAAAACTAGCCGGGCGAGGTGGCAGGCGCCTGTAGTCCCAGCTACTCGGGAGGCTGAGGCAGGAGAAAGGTGTGAACCCGGGAGGTGGAGCTTGCAGTGAGCCGAGATCGCGCCACTGCACTCCAGCCTGGGCGACAGAGCGAGACTCCATCTCAAAAATAAATAAATAAATAAATAAATAAATAAATAAATAAATAAATAAATGCTGGTGCGCTGCCCTTTCTGGACTGAAACTGTAACCCTAGGCTGGGAGCTGGGGAGAGGTGGAGTCCCATTTTCTTGTCCGTGACTACCCAGCATGGAGCTTCAATTACACAGAGTTGGCTGGGGGTTGTGGGGAATAGGGGTAATTTGTGGCTTAAATGCCCTCAGACTCTTGCTGCTCTATACAGATTGAGTAGAATTTCTTTCTTTTGTAGAGACGGGGTTTCACCGTGTTAGCCAGGATGGTCTCGATCTCCTGACCTCGTGATCCGCCCGTCTCGGCCTCCCAAAGTGCTGGGATTACAGGCTTGAGCCACCGCGCGCGGTCTAGCTGTTCTATCTTTAAGGGACTTACCATGTGGCTACTACGGTGGGAAACACAGGATTGGATGGCAGCTGGCTGCCCCCTCTGGGGAGGCTGACATGTGGAAGGACATTCTCCACTGTATCTGGGGCATGCATATAATGGTCTAGCATGTGGATGCCTGCACTGCACCTGCACCACCTGGAAATCAGCAGGTGGACTAGCCAACCCACATTCATCTCCTAGAGGAAGTTCTGTTTCTAACTTCCAAAAAGGTGTTGGAAACAGAAGATGTGGTCCACTGGCTACCAAAAAAAAAAAAAAGGACATTGAGAACAAGGTACCCTTTGGGCCTAAGGATGAGTACTTGCTTATGGGGAGACCGGACCTGGCTTTTCCTTAGCAGTTGAGAGATGTCAGACCTGCTGGTTGGTTGATCCTGTCGATGCTGCTGGTGTGTGCTACCTGATCAGAGATGGTGAGCGTTAACCAATTTATACCTGAGGTTGTGCTGCTGGTGTGTGCTGCCTGATCAGAGATGGTAAGCGTTAACCCATTTGTGTCTGAGGTTGCAGTTTTTTTAATTTGAAAAAATCGGACCTTGGTGATGACCTTGAGTCGCAATAGGATATGAATAATTCCCACATGCTTAGCATTCCAGTAATGGACCACTAGGCATAAATGGGGTTAATGTTTTCTTGAATAATTTATGTTACAAGAGTCTCCAAAAGTTCCAGTTTCACCCTCCCCCAATACCTATTTCTCCCTATCTTTGCCTGTTCCAGATCAGTCCTTGGTCCAGCCCCCAGAAAGGCAGGTAACCCCAGGGCATCTTGTGCATGTCAGGGTTAGTGGGGGACCCAGTGTGTGTACTGTAGCACCCATTTCTTTGTTTTGTGGTGGAGCAGTTCATCATGAATCCTGCCGTTTGCACATGATCAGCTAAGTGAAAGGTCCATCCCCAGCCACCGTGATGCTCATTCCTGTGACCCCCTCATTCTCCTCTATATTGCCTTTGTGGTAATTCATGTGTGGACCGACTCCCACGCAGGGTAATTTTGTACTAGCAACATAAAGCAGCACAGCCTTGATAATGGGTGATCAGAAGCTCAGTGTGTTCCTCTCTCTGTACTGAGGCTTACAATAGACTCCTGGGTCTTCATGAACCCATAGTGTTCCCCATGGGTTCTGTGTTCCATGACCAATGGTTTTCAGATGCTCAGTGTTCTTCCTGGTTATTGGGAACCCACACCCAGCTGGCCCCTATGGCCATCTGACAGCACTTCAGATGTATGGCTGGTGGGAGGTGCCTGACTCTTTGTTTGTCCTCTGATGCCCATATATTTCCTACCCTTGCCTGACAGTTCCTCTGCCTCCCAGCATATGGCCAGAGGCATGCCTTTAGCACCTCGGACAGAGCCCACATTCATCCTGGGGCAGGTGGCCAGCTTTTTGTGGGAGCATGGTGGGCAACTGAGAAGTCTTCCACAGTGGGATAGAGAGTCCTGGGATGTAGGGACCAGCCCTACAGGGTCTGTGGGTTTTTCTCCCCGTGTGTGGAGATAAGCAATCATAGGAATAAAGACATAAGACAGATAAAAGAAAAAACAGCTGGGCCCGGGGGACCACTACCACCAAGACGCGGTGACCGGTAGTGGCCCCAAATGCCGGGCTGCACTGTTGTTTATTGGATACAAGACAAGGGGGCAGGGTAAGGAGTGTGAGCCATCTCCAATGATAGGTAAGGTCACGCGGGTCACATGTCCACTGGACAGGGGGCCCTTCCCTATTGGTAGCCGAGGCAGGGGGAGAGAGAGAGGAGACAGCTTATGCCATTATTTTTGCATTTCAGAGACTTTCAGTACTTTCACTAATTCTGCTACTGCTGTCTAGAAGGCAGAGCCAGGTGTACAGGATGGAGCATGAAAGTGCACCAGGAGCGTGACCACTGAAGCACAGCATCCTACAAGGAGACAGGCCTCCAGATAAATCTTCCACAAGAGGTGGTGGAGCAGTCTTCTCTAACTCCCCCAGGGAAAGGGAGACTCCCTTTCCCAGTCTGCTAAGTAGGGGGTGCTTTTCCTAGGCACTGACGCTACTGCTAGACCAAGGTCCACTAGGTAACGGGCATCTTCCCAGGTGCTGGCATTACCACTAGACTAAGGAGCCCTCTAGTGGCCCTGTCCAGGCATAACAGAAGGCTCACACTCGTCTTCTGGTCGCTTCTCAGCATGTCCCTTCAGCTCCTGTCTCTGTATGGCCTTGTTTCTCCTAAGTTATACTTGTAGAGCGAAGATTATTATAATATTGGAATAAAGAGTAATTGCTACAAACTAATGATTAATAATGTTCATATGTAATTGTATCTATGATCTATATCTAGTATAAGTATTCTTATTTTATATGTTTTCTTTATTATGCTGGAACAGCTCATGCCCTCGGTCTCTTGCCTCGGCACCTGGGTGGCTTGCTGCCCACGCTGGGAAATGTCTCAGTAACACGTCCTGAGTTGACAGGGTAGGATCTGAGTAATAAATTTGTGAATGAGCCCTCAGGGGGCTGAAATCAGGAACTCTGCAGGGACCCCAAAGCCCAGAACCCAAAGTTAAACAGTGTTATGTGTCAGTTTGCTGGTGCTGCAGAATCAAAGACCTCTACATTCAGTGCAATGGAACAACCACATCATGATTGCTCCTGAGTCCATAGGTCATCTCATGAGTCTGTTGATCTGGGCCAGGCTCAGTTGACCTCGATAGGGGGGTCACTCACACGTCTGTGTTCAGCAGGTAGATAGACTGGACCCTTGAACATGGGGAGACTGCGCCTGGCCTGAGATCACCTTCTAGCCCTTCCTTGAGCTCCAGTCAGGACACAGAGACCCCCTTGGACCCACTCCTGCCACAGGCTGGGGTCCCAAAGATGGCTCGTGGCCTCCTCAGGAGCCCTCCTCTTCTTCCTTCTTCCACAGCTGTCTTGGCCTCTCTCTGCATCCTCAGCCTTCTCTGACCACATGGAGCCCCCAGGTGAGCCCAGGAAGGACTGGGAGGCTGAGGGAGGGGCGTGGCTCCCAGGGGATCCCAGGCTGGCACCCTCCTGCCCTTCCACCTGGACCTCACCAGCTCTGTCCCCTCCAGTGGTCCCCATGGGTGCTTATCTGATGCTGTGCCAGCCACAGGCAAGATGTGGGGACACGTTCTATGACCCCCTCCAGCACTGTTACTATGACAATGCCGTCTTGCCCTTGGATGGGACCCAGAGGTGTGGAAACTGCACCTTCAGAGTCTGCTTCGAGAAGTGCTGCCCCTGGTCCCTCAGTCCCCAGGCGGCCCTCATGGTGAAGATGAAAGGCCAGAAGTGCTCCTTGACCCCGACCTCAGATGACAGGTTTTGTCACAGGTGAGGTCCTGTCTCCTCCATGAGATTGTGGGTGCAGGGGGGCTGCATGCCTGTTCTGCCCTGAGTAGAGCCCCCATTCTCTGTGTCTATCCTGCCTCTAGTCAATCCACCTCCCCCTTTCCCTACAGCTGTGTTTCTTCCTCCCTTCATTTTTATTTTCCTCTCACAACCTCACTCTCTCAACATTGCTGGCCTCTCTTCCTGGCTCTCCTGGCCTCCTTTCTGCACTGTTCAGTCTGTCCCCCATCTCCGGCCTGCTCAGAGTCTCTCTCTTCAGTGTCAGCTCAGACTGGAGGGCAGTGGCTCAATCACAGCTCGCTGCAGCCTCAACCTCCCAGACTCAAGCGATCCTCACATCTCAGCCTCCAGAGTAGCTGGGACCACAGGTGAGCACCACTGTGCCCAGCTAATTTTTGTATTTTTTATACAGACAGGGTTTCACCATGTTGTTCAGGCTGGTTCTTAATCTCTTGGGCTCAAAAAATCCTCTCTCCTCGTCTTCCCAAAGTCCTGGGATTAAAGGTGTGAGTCACTGTGCCCGGCCGGGACAGGAGCCCTGGACTGGCCCTGGCTGCCCTCCCCGCATCACAGATGGAGTTTTGCCGTGTTACGCAGGCTGGTCTTGAACTCCTGAGCTTAAGTGACCTGCCTGCATTGGCCTCCCAAAGTACTGGGATTACAAGTGTGAGCCACTACACCCGACACCTTCCCTTCTTCCCTTCCCCTTCCCCTTCCCCTTCCCCTTCCTCCTCCCCTCCCTTCCCTTCTCCTTCCCTTCTCCTTCCCGTTTCTTCCCTTCTCCTTCCCTTTCCTTCCCTTCTCCTTCCTTCCCTTCCTTCCCTTCCCCTTCCCTTCTTCCCTTCCTTTCCCCTTCCTTCCCCTTCCCTTCCCTTCCCTTCTCTTCCCTTTCCTTCCCTTCTCATCCCTTTCCTTCCCTTCTCCTTCCCTTCTCCTTCCCTTTCCCTTCCTTCTCCTTCCCTTTCCTTCTCTTCTCCTTCCCTTCTCCTTCCCTTCTCCTTCCCTTTCCTTCCCTTCTCCTTCCCTTCTCCTTCCCTTCCCTTCCTTCTCCTTCCTTCTCCTTCCCGTTTCTTCCTTCTCCTTCCTTCCCTTCTCCTTCCCTTTCCTTCCCTTCTCCTTCCCTTTCCTTCCCTTCTCCTTCCCTTCTCCTTCTCTTCTCCTTCCTTCCTTCCTTCTTTCTTTTTTCTCTCTTTCCCTCCTTCCTTCCTTTTTTTTCAGGGTCTCACTCTGTTGCCCAGGCTGGATTGCAGTGGTCAGTCTGATCATGGCTAATTGCAGCCTGGAACTCTTGAGCTCAAGCGATCCTCCTACCACAGCCTCCCAAGTAGTTGGGAACACAGGTGCATGCCACCATGCCAAGCAGTTAAATTTTTTTTGTTGTAAAGACTGGATTTTACCACGTTGTCCAGGCTGATCTGGAACTCCTGACCTCAAGCAATTATTCCTCCTTGGCCTCCCTAAGTGCTGGGATTACAGGCATGAGCCACCATACCCCACCACCTCTTCATTCTTGTTGACTTTGTGTCACTGGAAAAAAAAAAATTCTACCCAGTATGTAGCTTACCACAGTCATGTAGTTTCACTACAAGGCAGTTGCATATATAGAAATGAAACCATGGCTGTTTCTAGACGGGCTGTCCTCAACATTTGTGCTGGCCTAAACTCTCTTTAAATTAGATTCTGACCATTTTGATCACTAGGTTGACATCATCCAGTCTTTGGTCACCAAAGCCCCTTTGCAGGGAGAGAGAGATCAGCCCCTTCAATTCTGATAACTCTGCTTGGGGAAAGTGAGTGACACAGCTTCCTCAGCCAGCAAAGAGAGATGTCCAGGCTGGAGAGCTTCCGTCCCTCCTCTACACATGTGCGATGCCACCCCATTCCTGCCTATCCCCTGGGAGGGACTCCTTGAGGCCAGATGGAACTAACACCACAAAGATGCCAGGTAGAAGAGTCGTTGTATTTATTCTGGGACAAAAGGGCAAGTGAAGAGAGAGCCTTTGAGAGCGGGAAATGTCAAGGCCCCCGGGGTTTCACATTCCAGGAGCCCAGCTCTGCCAGCCCCACCGAGGAACCCCGGGAATGTCAGATTTTGGGTCTCATCGAGGGATATCTGTGACCAAGGCCTGCCTCCCCTTCCCAGAGGGGCTGGGCCAGCGGAGGCGGGGTGGGGCAGCAGTTGGAGGCACGTGGACTGGAGTTCAGGAAACCCAGGCTCTGGTCCAGCCTGTGTCTGTGACCAGCAGTTGGTCCTCGGACCATGTCCTGCTTGGATGGATTAGAAAGTGGGATGGGAGAATTAAATGTCTGTCTGAGGTCAGGATCTTGCACTTACTCACCAGAAAAACAGAACCTCCTTTCGCTATGGGTAGAGTTCAAGTTCCAAACCCTGAGGATCAGTTCCACCAAGACAGAGCTGGGCTCCAGTGCCAAAGACCTGTCCCCAGACAGTGGATGGGATAGAGTGGGGGACTCCATGGGGCTAGTGGAGGGATTGGACAGCGCTGTATGCAAAGGCTTTTTTGACAGCTGGAGAAGGAGCAGGGACAGGAGCACTGGACTGGCCCTGACCGCCCTCCCCGTTTCCCAGCCTCTGAGAGCCCCCTGTGCTGTCATGATCTCCCTCCACTGTCTCACCCCGGGCCTGACTCAGCCACCCTGAGAGACCAGGCTCAGGCCAAGGAGGGTTGGCCAGACTCCTCCCTCCTCGGGACCCAACCCTAATCCTGACCCAAGAAACCTGCTTTCTCCCACCAGTGTCTAGGCCTCCACCTGCCTTGAGCTGTCCCAGGAAATGCCCGGAACCATGGTTTGAGAGATGAACCTCATTATTGGAAGATGTGTTGGGGCATCTAAGTCAGTAGCACTTAGGCAAGAAGGAAGCCAGGCCATGCCTGCACCCTTCTTCATTCCTTAAAAAAATTTTTTTTTTAATTGAGACGGAGTCTTGCTCTGTTGCCAGACTGGAGTGCAGTGGCGTAATCCCGGCTCACTGCAACCTCCGACTCCCAGGTTCAAGCGATTCTCCTGCCTCAGCCTCCTGAGTAGCTGGGACTACAGGCACATGCCACCATGCCCAGCTAATTTTTGTATTTTTAGTAGAGACAGGGTTTCACCATGGTGGCCAGGATGATCTCGATCTCCTGAACTCGTGATCTGCCCACCTTGGCCTCTCAAAATGCTAGGATTATAGGCATGAGCCACCGTGCCTGCCCTAAATTTTTTTAATTTTTATTTTTTATTTTTTGAGACAAGATCTCGCTCTGTCACCCAGGCTGCAGTGCAGTGGTATGATCTCAGCTCACTGAAACCTCCACTTCTCGGGCTCAGGAGATTCTCCTGCTTCAGCCCCTGAGTAGCTGGGTCTACAGGCCCATGGCAGTATGCTCAGCTAATTCTAATTTTGTATTTTTTGTAGATATGGAGTTTTGTCATGTTACCCAGCCTGGTCTTGAACTCCTGAGCTTAGGTGACCCATGTGCATTGGCCTGTCAAAGTGCTGGGATTACAGGTGTGAGCCACCACACCCAGCCCATTTCTTTTCTTTTCTTTTCTTTTTTTCAGGGTCTCACTCTGTTGCCCAAACTGGAGTGCAGTGGTCTGATCATGGCTAATTTCAGCCTGGAACTCTTGAGCTCAGGCAATCCTCCTGCTACAACCTCCCAAGTGGTTGGGACCACAGGTATGTGCCACCATGCCCAGCTTTTTAAAAAAAATTTTTGTAAAGACTGGATTTTGCCATGTTGCCCAGGTTGGTCTTGAACTCTTGGCCTCGAGCAATTCTTCCTCCTCGGCCTAAGTGCTGGGATTACAGGCATGAGCCACCATGCCCTGGCCACTTCTTCGTTCTTGTTGGCTTTGCTTCCCTGGAAAAATATAAATTCTGCCTCAATATGTGACTCACCACAGTCATGAAGGAAGATTTCACTACAAGGCAGTTCATAAAAATCTGTGCAGTGCACACTAACCCATTTTTGTGTCTGTTTTTTGAATTAAAAAAAAAATTGTCTATGACGTACTCAAGGAGTTATACCACCCAATAATACGTTGCCACTCTTAGTATGGAGGACAGTAATCTTTCCTGAGCTGCAAATGGGCAAGCCAGGAGAGCAGGGAGCAATGGAGAAAGAGAACACTCTGTCTCCTCTCCACAAGGGAGGAGGGGACTGCAGGCCCCTCATGACTGCACCATTACCCAGCTGCAGGCTCAACCCTCCTCTCCACCCTCCTCACAAGAGAGATGCAGGGATGTTCTACAACCATAAATCTGATCACTTCCATCCCCTGCTTAGGCCTGGGCCATGCTCAGTGCCCTCAGGATAGACTCTGGAGTTCTCCAGGGGCCCATAAATGCCCCAGCCTTGCTGCCCGCTCTGGTCTCCTCTTCCTGCCTTGCATTCTGGCCTCTCTGGGTTCCGCCTCACCGAAACAGGCACCGTTCCCATTCATTCTTGAAACAGTAGCTCAGACGTCTTCTCCAAGAAGACATCGCTGGCCTCTCAGGCTGGGTCGGGCAACCACTGTGGCCTCCCAAGCCTTTCCACTTCCCCAACCCAGCCCTGACTCTCTGAGTCATCAAGGCCTGAGGACATTCTGTGTTCCCAGTGATGGCACATGGCCCGCTATTATGTCTCTGCTGCATCCTCAGCAGCACGTCAAGCAGGGCTGGGCCCCAGATGGCCCTCGATGACTGTTTATTATTAATACCAGGTGGTTAAATATGTCACCTCTTGTTCATCCAGAAGACAATAGAGCCACAGGGCCTGGTGAGCTCCATTTTACCTGGAAGGCACCTGAGGCTCACAGAGGCCAAGTCTCTCCTCCTGTTGCACCCAGCGATTATCAGACCCAAGCCTCTCTGGTTGCAGAGCTGGACTCTCAGCCAGCCCCATGCTGGGTCGGGGTTGGGGAGCTTGGAGGTGGGGAGCTGGGTGCCTTGGCTCTTTGCTCTACAGGGTGATCATCCCCTGTGGTGCAGAGAGTGTGGTCAGGTGTGGGAGAGGCCAAAGGGACCCTGGCAGCACTTGTGCATGGTACAAAGCCTGGGAACCACACATGTCCCCCTGGCAAGGAACAAAGGGGTTTGTTAAAGGCCATTAGACAATCCTGGAATCTCTGCGCAGGGTTTGGGGTGGAAGGAGAACCTTGTGTGTGACACCAGTGCAAACTTCCACATCCACCCCCGGGGCTGAGCTGATGATGATGCCTCAGCTTCTACCTGGGAGACACCAGAGCTGGCACCATGGGCAACTCGGGAGCCAACCATGGAGATTTTCCTGAATCCTCAACTCCTGGTGGGTCTGGACACCACGTGGCTCCCCCATCACAGGATCACAGGATGGTCGCAACACTTTTCCTGCTGGACTGGGCCCTCACACTGATGCACATCTAGAAGGGGACCGGGTCGTGGAATAGCCCCAGGCCTGTGCCTGGGCTCAAGACTCACAGGGTCAGATGTAAAGCTGTGTAGACATGTGAGTGTGGGAGGGTGAGGACCCAAAAATGTCCTGCAATTTCCTGTTTTCTTTCTTTTTTTTTTTTTTTGAGACAGGGTTTCACCCCTGTTGCCCAGGCTGGAGTGCAGTGGTGCGATCTCAGCTCACTACAATCTCCACCTCCCTGGTTCAAATGATTCTTATGCCTCAGCCTCCTAAGTAGATGGGATTAAAGGCATGTGCCACTACACCCAGCTTATTTTTGTATTCGTAGAGACAGGGTTTCACCATGTTGGCCTGGCTGGTCTTGAACTCTTGAGCTCATGCCATCTATCCAGCTTGGCCTTCTAAAGTGCTGGGATTACATATGGGAGCCACCCCACCTGGCCTCTGATTGAAATTTTTTATTGAAATTTGGGCCGGGCACGGTGGCCCATCCCTGTAAACCCAGCACTTTGGGAACCCAACACAGGTGGATCACAAGGTCAGGAGTTCAAGACCAGCCTGGCCAAGATGGTGAAACCCTATCTCTACTAAAAGTACAAAAATTAACTGGGCATGGTGGTGGGTGCCTGTAATCCCAGCTACTCAGGAGGCTGAGGCAAAGAATTGCTTGAACCCAGGAGGCAGGGGTTGCAGTGAGTCGAGATTGCGCCACTGCACTCCAGCCTGGGTAACAAGAGCGAGGCTCCATCTCCAAAAAAAAAAAAAAAAGAAAAGAAAAGAAAGAAATTCAAATGTGGGGTTACTATGGTATTCAGTATATCTATATTGTGTATGCTGGAGAGTTTTCATTTGTATTTTTAAAAAACACATTGTGATAGATTTCCCATGTTATGGCTCATTTCTAGGGTCCCAGCATAGAGGCACCTCATGGAGCCCTGCCAGATGTCACGCGAGTCCATGTGAAGAGAGTCCACCAACAGGCTTTATGTGAGCAACAAGGCTGTTCATTTCACTTGGGTGCAAGTGGGCTGAGTCCGAAAAGAGAGTCAGCAAAGGGAGAAAGGGGTGGGGCAGTTTGATAGGCTTTGGGTACGTACTGGAAAATTACAGTTAAAGGTGGTTATCTCTTGTGGGCAGGGGTGAGGGTCACAAGGTGCAGGGTGGGGAGATCATGAGACTCATTGTCCAGGGGAGGAATGTCACAAGGTTGGTTGATTAGTTGGGGTGGGGCAGGAATAAATCACAATGATGGAATGTAATGTTTTGTAGTTCTTCAGCTGCCTCAGGCCATCTGGATGTATATGTGCAGGCTTGGGCTCAGAGAAGAAAAACAAAACAAAAGAGTGGTAAAGTGTTGGGGCAGTGAAAATTTTTTGGGGCGGTATGGAGAGATAATAGGCGATGTTTCTCAGGGCTGCTTTGGGCGGGGTTAGGGGCCGTGTGGGAACCTTGAGTTGGAGAGATTAAACTGAAGAAAGATTTTGGAGTGAGGGGTGATATTGTGGGATTGTTAGATGGAGAATTTGTCATATAGAATGATTGGTGATGGCCTGGATGTGGTTTTGTGTGAATTGAGAAACTAAACGGAAGACACAAGGTCTGAATAAGAAAAGGAGAAAAACAGGTTTTAAAGGACTTAAGAATTGAGAGGACCCAGGACATCCAATTAGAGAGTGTCCAAGGGGAGTTCAGTGTAATTATTTGCTTGGTTGGCGAGTTTTTGGGCTCTATCCTTGAGTTTTTTTGTGTTGTCATATACCAGGCCAGATTGATTTAGGTAAAAACAACACTCTTCATTTAAAAATATACAGCCTATTTTTTTTTTTTTTTTTTAAGGCAGTGAGTAAGTCAAGCCCTTTGCGTTTTTGGAGGAAAGAGAAATGCAAAACCAGCAGTTGTTTGTTAAAAAAGGATTAGAAACGACTAGGAGAGAGTGATTGAGGTTGATAGTGTGGTGGAGATAGCTGGGGAGAGGTAGAGGGAGGCACAAGAACAGGAATGAGAATAAGAGTGAGTATAAAAGCAAAGAATAGGACTTTATCGGGGGAAAGTATTGGAAGGTGCCCTGTCAGCAAAGATTATCTATCCACTCCAAGAGGGAGTCAAGATTGGTGGATTGGGGATAATACTAGGAGATATCCGCTGTGATGGTTTGGAGGGTAAGTGTAAACCGGCAGTGTAAACAGGGGCACAGCATTTATGAGTAGTTGAGAATGGTGAATAGGAGTATGACTAGACAGAAGATGGCAGGAATGACAAGTTTTGAGGGCACAGTCCAAGTAGTGGGGGTGACTGCATAAAGCCCTGTTGTAAAGCGTAGGGTAAGGAAGAAGAGACCTTAATAAAAATGAAAAGATGTATTAGGCTTATAAAGATTACTATTATCCTTTAGGAAT